AGAATTGCACAAAGCGCATGCTCGCACCGGCTAGTCTGGTGCGCATTGTTATTTTTAAATAAAGCACTGTTTATTGGTTTGGGTGAGTGCCTTCTGTAACTCCACAGTAGCACCCTCCCCTCCCCCCTTCCCTACAGCTGCACCAGGTTCCTCATTCGTCTTCCGTACGTTAAAAAACAGCAGTATATATAGTGGTAACACGAAATGACGAACTTTTCTCGATCTCCACCGATCCATTCGGGGAGTTGCTGGGTTTGTCTGTTCACATATTCCCCGGTGTTCATCTGTGTATACTGCACTGCTGCAGCAGCAGTGTCGTGCGGAGGTTCCGACGACTGCACACTGCCATTAGCAGCAGCTGCAGCTGCAGCAGCAACACGCTTACTCCACGGTGCCGCATTTCGTCCCAGCTGGCTCCATCCATTAGACGAAGAATCGTCTACCATAGCGCCACCAAACGGAGGATTTGCCACTTCATCGGATGTGCTGCGAAGACGCTGTCTGGGGCGATCACGTGGATCTCGTGGATCATAGAGAGCCTGGGCTCGAGTATTGAACGGCTGCTGCTGCTGTTGCTGCTGCTGCGTAGCGGTAGTAAGCCCTCGACCAACACCAAGTGCCCCTCCGCGACCACCACGATTCGAACCTAAATATGCGAAATTACGTGAAATTTGGGCGTTACAGCGAAGAAAATCGTGAAAAAAAGTATTCTTAGGAATTATTTCAAGGGTGCCAAACTAAGAAAACTCTTGGCTTTTTTTGAGAAAATCTCACCAAATCGACCAATAACCGAGGTATCGGTAACGTGTGCCGAATTTGCTTGTACAATACCACGACCACGATACGAGCCCAGTGCACCACCTCGGCCAAACTGCGCACTCCCTCGGCCCACACCTGCACCATTCGCACTTCCTAGCAAAAAACAAGGAATAATACAAGTATCCAAACTTCTTTACATAAAGGAAGGCAAGCATCTAAGCTCGGTTTCGGCATTTTTTCAAAAAAAAAAAAAATTGTCTTTTTTCCAGCGTTTTTTTCGAGGGGAATAAAGTGAAGTAATAAAATGCGGCCGCTGGAAGGCCGCATCATAATCTTTTATTTTATTTACTTTCATTTTACTAACTTTTATTTTCATTTTATTTACTTAACAGGTACAACTCCAGTTCAACATTCGTAATGGTGGAGGTATTGTTTAACAATATGCACTTTTAACCTCTGCTTTAACCTTTCTACTTTATCTTGATTTTCCTTTTTCTTTTTGACACATTACATGTTATTTTTGCTACAACCGTCACACTGACGAGGTCCAGTTGCAGCAATGAACAGGAATGTATGCGAGTTGATGGACCGAAACATTCCTATCCAGATTTTTATTCAGATTTTAACTTATTCACATTCCCTTTTATTCCCTGACTTCTTACATAAACAC